AAAAACATGTATTACTTTTTTAATTATTTTAATTATTATTATTATTAGTTTCTAATTATCTACATACTTGACAATATCCTTTTAGAACTTCGAAGATTGCTTCGCATACTTCAGGTACAATTGTAGAAATTGATTGCTTCGATATCTTAAACAGGTACATAAGACTAGTAAACGAATCTCCTGTGGCTAAATATCGCAAAGTAACCGCTAATCTTATTGATGGCGGAATAGCGGAACGGTAGTTTGTATTTTTTTCGAGATCTTAGGAGCTACCAAACGATAGTCTAACGAAATTGCGGAATGAACTGCCGTCGTTTAAAAGTAATTCAGACATTAAGTTGTCACCATAGCTTATTCCATTTTTTWAAAATTTTCTCTGTCACCATCTTCTTTTTCTTACTTTACCATGAGTAGCTATGATGATGAATGCAGCAGTTGTCAGATCCATTTGGTATTTGTTTAAAGTAAAGTATTTATTTTTTAAATATTTATATATTTTAACTTCCACTTTCACTTTAAACTACAACTACWAYAGACGGATGTGGACTGTTGACGCGCAACTATTTGGTTTGAACGCGCCACACTGTTGACAACGTGTATCTAGATACATGTATCTGAATCCGACAAATTTGTTGCCAAYAWTCGGCAACGTGTTGCCAACAAAATGTTGCTTGGTCTGTACGTACCTTAACGCACGCAAAATAATTTAATAAAAATTAAGACGTTATCAGACGTAATATAAAGACTAATGACTACCGCCTGGCCTCCCGTATAGTGTGTTGGACGACGACGCTCCGTGTCACAATCAAAATCGTGTGTCAGCGGATTCCACGGTCTCGACGTCGTATAACACACTATTCCTGATGGTCTTAAAAAATATCATGTAAAATAATATTATATTATAATATTATTCAGGGTTTATAACAATGGTGAGCCCGTGTTTCGCCAGTGCGATTGTGTTCGTTGAAGTTGTTGTACCTACGTGTTTTTGTCGCAATTACCCGTTGTCCATTCTTTTTTCTCTCGTAAACGTTCGTCGATATTTAACATCGTCGTCAGGTTACTGTAAATTGTCACTGTACAGCTTGGTATCATGTTGGAAACTGAGAGAGAAATGAGTATCCGAGAACGTTTTATTAAGAACCTTATAAAATCGGTGGAAGGATAAAAAGACAATCATTATGATGTCATTACAAAACACGCTTATTATTCGCTTCTACAAGAGGTCGAGGAAGYGATATCGACAACTAAAAAAGCCCTGCTCAATATGGAAGGAGTAGATGGTTCAATGTTTTGAAATTTGGCGATACAAAAAAGTTGGTAACCCGTAGAGAGCTAGTTAAATATTATTTGCCGATGGAAGACATTTTTTATGTCATTGTTACATATCGTTGTAGGGCATGGAGGGAGAGATCTTTTGTAACTTCAAGAAAATACGCCAATATCATCACAGACATGATTAATATTTTTCTGTCTCCGTGAAAAGGCTCGGAAACARAAGACTCGTTTCGAATCCAATTTTGCACACTGAGCTTAATAGTAGATGTCATATCGATTTGATAGACATGCAGTCACAACCCTATGCATAGTTTAGGTTTATACTTAATTATAAGGATCATCTGCCAAAATTCATTCCGCCCCTTGCAGATCAAGTGTGTAGACGAAGTTGCGAGTCATGTATTAGACATATCTTAAACCTTAGGTGCACCGATTCTTTTGCRTTCAGGCAATGTTGGAGAATTTGTTAATAATGTGATTACAGAGGTATGGCCAACGTTTTTTCTTGCTCGGAAAATCAAGGCATTCCCAAAGCCAAGGCTCCGTAGGCGTGCTAATCAAGACGTGTAAACGACTAATTAGTGTAGTGATCACGTCGCCTACAGGTATCAGTAGTCAAGGATGATGTTTGGAAGGTGACTCTTGAGTTAATTGCACAACGTAGAATTCTTCTTAATTAGATTAATTGTTTATTTATTGTGATAAAACATATATTTATTTATAACATGAAAGCTGAATGTAAGTTAAGTATTCTGAATGATAGAATA